AAGATCTCTGTCCAGAAGAGCAGAAGAGCGCAGTCGTAGGAACAGCTAAAAAGCTAAGATACTGCGCAGGACCCTCAAGCTCCCAGGCCTCTGGGACTCTCAGTGGTGCTCGTTTGTACAAACAGATTCAGTATTCATCAGTGTGTGCTGAAGATGTATCATGGCTGGAGTGATCCAAGATATGGCTCTAGTTTCGCCTCTCTAAAATTCACATCTATTCATCAGTCAACTTCAGATTATCATTTGATCATAAACAATGTGGAAAAGGGAGACTCTGCAGTCTATTACTGTAGGACACTGGACAGCTCTGTTGAAAGTGGGGTATCACAACGATTTACACTGTAGATTTTCGCATGAAAATAATAGAACCATCAAAAGACTCAGTGTAACATACGACCAATGTTCCCTCTAAGCTGCGCGCGTGCGTAATTGCGCACTGCTGGTAAGGTCTCTGCGCACAAAAAATCTGCGTTGCACACAAAAAAAATCTAACTTGAATTGAAATTAAAATGAAAACTTTAACACTTCTATTTTGCAGAGTTAGTCAGTAAGTGACTGGCTGCTCCCGTATGGGATTACACCGATGCCACCGTATACCATAGTCCAGCCAATAATGCGATTCACATTCGTATATACGCAGCTAATCAACGTTCAGACACATGAAAAGGAAATTAGAGGGAACATTGCATACAACCTTCAGTTAAAGTGCTATTAAACACTGGATTGCTCATTTTTTGATTTTTTAACCTTCAATATTAAAAGTAGCTGGAATAAATTTGATAGTATTGACATATAAATATATAAATATATAAATCTGATTCCTGTTACAGTGTGTTTAACATTTTAAAGCAAAAAGAAATAAGATACAGCTAATCAATATTACAAGGCTACCCTGAACTCAGATCCGATCTTCTAGATCAGGAGAATTTATAGAAATTTCATTTGGATTAATCAGAAACTCATTTATAAGGCAGAAAGAAAGGCTGTCGCAAAAATGTTATTCAGAGACAGTACAGCTCTGATGAATTCTGACCAATAATGAGGACTTCATCAAATCTTGCACAAAACAAGTGACACAAAGGAATAAACATGACTACAGAGAGAGCAGGTATTTAAAACACTTTAACATTGTTATAAAATACAAACAGATGAAGTGAATGAGATGTTGACAGTGAAAGTTGGTGCCTACAGGATGTTTCAGTTCCTCTCCCCTCATCAGTGACAGTCAGGAGGTTTTTGTACAGCCATGTATACAAACTGAATCACTGTGGTATTCGGACAAGGCACCAAGCTGATTGTGACAAGTAAGTACTTTTTAACTGATCATAAAACAACAGAGATTTTGCACAAATCTGCTGATGACTACTTAATTCAATATGTTTCTTGTTCAGCATCATTTTTTATGATTTTATACAACATGAAATAGTTTCAGGTTGTCTCATATACAGGAGACATGGATTTGTTATATAAAAAAAAACGTGTAAAGGGGTCAAACTAAATTTTTGTATTTTTATATAACTGTTGTTCACTGAAAATGAGGTGAAATATGTTGTTGTTCACTCTTATTATTCCCATAATTTTTTATTTTATATTTAGGTCAATTTGAAAAACATACACAGGCATGTTTTCTCTTTCTTCAATAGTAGTTAATAGTGTTACTAATGTTAATGGGATTAGAACCTGGCCTCATTTTTTTTAAATGAAAGAAAATTACTCACAGTAGCTGACACGTTATGCAGAAAATATGCTCTAGAATTAAATTTTACATGAAAAGTTAAATAGTAACTAGTCATATTTGGGAAAAATTCAAAAAGAAATTCAAATGATGCGTTGGATTGTTATTTCTATACTGTTTTGCAGATTTTAATTATTTTAAACATTAATATTGTTTCTTTTCAAATTTTATAATTTATTACTTCTTTTATCATTATCTCCTTTCTTTTCATTTTTCTTTTTCTTTTCTCTGAACATCCTTCATGTATTTTCAGGCTCCAGCCTCCCTCCTCCTGTCCTGACAGTCTTCCCT